GTTTGTGATTTACTGATTATTGTGATCATCAAACGACAATCAAATCAACTGATCAACTCAATATTATAGTTTCTGGTAAATTGAACAGAACCAGAATCAAAACGAAACAAAATTAAATCCAAAAAATTGACTTCTAAAAACTAGAAGCTTCATAATCATTCCAATGTGATCAAACAGATTTTCAGAGTTCATCTTTCCTCATAATTCTGATATTCTCAATGAAATGGCTTTGAAAACTCGCGAAGTTCAGGTTCTAAAGTGAATATTTCGAAGGCTGTTAAGCTAGAAAATTTAGATTATGATATTTTCAAATCACTCTTTTTGAATCAAAAATTTTTGTTAAAATGTTAAGTCTTGCCTTTTGATTGAACATTTAAAGATCTGATTAATTCTGAGTCTCATTCTGTTCAAATAATTTGTTGATATGAAATGTTTCGAATAATATTTTTCATTGTTTCATTTATTTACCTTTTTGTTTTGTCAACCTGCAATTACTGCAAGTCATTGATCAGTTTCAAGTAAATGTCGATCAATAAACCTGGACAAACTGACCTTTCATCAATGGCTTAGAGTTGGTGACTTTTCATGCGATACTCAACCTATTTTGGATCCTCTTTTTGTCCCATTCATTTGTACATTTAAAAGGTTGAACAATAATATCAACAATAGCACAATTTACTGTTAATAGTTGCGTCTTTTCATCTAAAAATTCATCATTTCTCTTCACTCTGATTGTCCAATAAATAAATATTAAATATTTGGTTGACTTGATGTTTAAATAAACTTTTAATTGTATTTCACTGTATAAACAGCAAATATCATGTAAACATTGAACCAGTTGAAGCTATTTGAAGTAAACCTTTTGTTTTGCCTGCAAGTTAATCAAACTGACTGATCAACTTTTCTGTCCAAACCATTCTGTTTACATTGTAACAATCAAACGATGAAAATGATCATTAAACTGGACATTAAAAGTAGTAAATAACTAATTTTGATTGATGATATCCTTGACTTTTACTGTGTATCAGGAAATCCTTGATAATGTTCAAATGGATTGAGACGGAAAATTATAATATTTACATTATCATCATCTCAAGGATAAACTGATCATTGAAAGATTAATTCATTGATTCTAAATTTGCATTGGCACTCAACTGATGCCCTGAAAGTTTCCCTGAACCTGTTGACAACTGGAAAGGTCTCTGTTGCCAGCTCATGACCAGAAGAAGAGGAAAACTGAATAAACTGAAACCAGAAAAGGTTTGCTTTTTTTGGGTGCAAAAAAAGCGATCAAATCTTTTATGGATTCAATTTTCTGATGAAAGTTGATCAAACAAATGATGATGACCTTTCGAAAGTTGAGTGTTGTAAAAAAGACGGAATTACAATTCAAATTGAAACTATAAGAAAATGGTTGGAAGAAGAGAAAAAAAATGTCTCCAATTAAATGGTTTTCCATGTCAACCAGATTCACTTAGAAAAACATGTTTTTCTTTGAAATTTTTGGCTCTTCTCTCATTCCATCCTCATTATCATCTTTTTTTCCTTCTTTTCTCATCTTCACTCATCTTCACCATCTTTTGCTTCCAATCAATTCAGCTTCTCAGTTTAACTTTACTGTGATATAAAAAGTTTTTTGGTTTTTCAATTGAAACCAACATCAAGCAGAGTGAAATAAAGTTACCCATGGATGATGATGAAACCAGCATCTTCTGGGATTGACAGTTGATGTGGATGAAGGGAGACACAGAGTGACTGGGAGTGTGCCATTTCTTCCCTCTCTTCATCTTCTTCTTCAACAATCTTCACCTCATCTTCATCAGCATCTTCCCTCTTCTCCTCCATCACAGATCAGACACTCAATCAAAAGACACAGGACTCTATTAAAACGCACTCTTTTCCCATCCAAGTCCATTCAAAGTTTACTCTTCACTCAACTTTATCCATTTTTTATTTTCTCCTTTTCTCTTCTTCTTTTGGCCAGAAAAATTATCATCAACTATCATTTTCATGCTCATCCTTTCATCATCATTGACCATCATTACCCAAATGCTATTATTAGTATCATTTGATTAATAAAAAAAGATGAATACCATTTATTGTTCCCTTCCTTTCCAACTGCAAACCTTACAGTTAATCATTGCAATGTTGATTAACAAATTGCCATTGATTCATTGATCTAAATGATTGCAATTGTTGATCACAATTTACACTTCAAGTTTAAATGTTGAAAAAGTAAACCTAATTGAAGGTTAAACAAAAGATGAACAATGAGATCGTCTTTTCACTTCTCACCAATTATTTAAATTCATCAGTTAATCCACTAATCAATCACTGACACTGAAAAGTTGAAACTTAATCAACATGAACAATAAAGAGTCACAAAAGGTGGCTCAATATTGGATAAAATGAAGAGTAGGAAGAGGCAGCAGAAGATGAAAAAAAGTAATGTCAAGAAGTAAAAATTGGCTGATAAAGTTGGTGAAAGAAGAAAATTTGTGAACTTCAAATTTATTCCAAAATTTCCTTATTCTTCTTCATTATCATCAGCATCATTTTCATCCTTTTTTTTCTTCTTCTTCATTGCTTCCCTTTTCCATTATCCAGAATAACACTGCAACACCATATTATTGATTGGCACACTTTCACATTTGATGTGCAAAAAGGCTGACACTCGACATTATAAACACATTGACTTTATCAAATTTAATCCTGCTCATGAAATTTCATTTGATTAAAAAAGAAGCAACTCTTGCATCTTAATCCTCTTCCTTCATCTCAATCGGATTACTTATTATAATCAGTAACAGGGTGTCCAGTTAAGTAGATTTACTCTCAACAAATACCACAAAAGCCTTCATTTGTTGCAAACTCAATCTGGAAAAATGTTCAACCAAACAGGGAAAAAGAAACAAAGCCAAATGCATAAAAAAAGGTAAACACAATCAGTCCATTTTTCAATGCTTTAAATCACTTATCAACTCAATTGCACATCACAAATGTATTTTTACCTGATTTCATGTTCAAAAGAAGAAGGTGAAATTAAAATTGATGAAAAACGAAACCTTTCAACCATTCGATTCAAACATTCAATGTTTCCATTGAATCTGCTTTTTAATTTCAATATTTACATTTTATTTCAACAACTTTGCGGTTTTTGTACAAAAACATGAATTTTGCGTCTCTCATAGGAACTGGTTTTATGGTTTCCAATAAATAATGTCAACCTAATTTTCAAGATGCTCGATGATCAAGTCAGTGTCAGAATATTCATGATTAGAAACTAGGAAATAGATTTTGCATCAGAATTATAATTTGTTTCGAAAAAATAAATTTCTTTTTAATGAAAAATGAAAAGCTTCCTCCAATAGTTTCGTGATTATTTCTGGAGTTCATGAGCGAAAATTTCCAAATCCTGAAAATTCTTTTTCTTTCTTTCCTCTAAAGATTTGATCGATTCCATTCCATGATGCGATTGAAAAGCGGACTTCATACTAATGTTCACTTTGATCGTAAGTTAAAAAATAAATGTTCTGAGAGCTCTTGAAACATTTCAATGTTTTTGTTTCGGAAAAACACATTTCTTGATTATGCTCAAGACTGTTAACACATTAATGAAATGATTGGTTTGAATTAAAATGAAATAGATTTGATTATAAATTGAAAAGTAGTTTGTTGATGAAATTTGTTCCAATTGAAAATGTCTTTAAATATTAGCAATAAAAGTTGCCTTTAAATGACTGACTCTAAATCAAGCAATAAAGATTCAATCTTTAAAACATTCCCTTCAAAGTAATTTAATGGTTTTTTATTGAAACTATAAAATAGATTACAATTTGAGGATTTGTTTTAATCAAAAATATTGCTTTTCTCTGGTTACAGGATAAGTGTTAACCTAATCGAATCTAAATTGATTGATTGAGAATTAATTTTTTCAAATTACATTTTCAACATCAAAGTTATCAAGGCAACAAATCTTTGGTCTTAAAGGTCTAATGGTTCTAATTAGCATCAATTGATTGGACCTTTTGCCTCGATTAGTTGAACATGTAAATACCTTTTTCGATGCGATTCACCTTCTTTTCATCCTTTGCAATTTACCTCAATTAAAGTCTAATTTCAGTGTTGCACTCAATTTGATGGACAAAAATGGTTACATTGAAATGATTTGACATTAAAGGGGAACATTTAATGGATATTCATTTGAATAAATTGATCATTAGACAAGTGTAAAGGGTAATCAAGAGACTGTTAACAGTTCTTGTAAACTGGTTAAATGGAGGAATCTAACAATGTTAATGTCCTTCAATCAAATTATAGCAATTTGTATTGTCAACAAATCCATAAGTCAACTGTTTAACTGTTGGGCGAGACAAACAAAATGTGTCTTCAATTCAATTAATCAAGATGATTGGAATGGAGAGAATGAAAGAAAAAGATTAATTCAGTTTAATCATAATGATCACGATACAAGAGCATTTTAAAATCAATTGAAATGCAAAACCACAAGAATTGAATCAAGATGAGGAATGATAAGGATGAGCAGTTTAAATTGCGTGTTCATTTAAATAATAAAGTTGCAAATGTTCAACATCAACATAAACAATTTTGCGTTTTTTTTCAATTTTCCTCAAAAACTCACACAATTTAAACATTTAATGATAATAATCTTACAGCTTAATTAATAACAATAAAGTTTACATGAGCAAGTAATCGATATTGAGCTAAATTCAGTCGAATAGTTAAGACTAAATTTTTAATTTACTTTCGCTGTGAAGTTTGCTTTTAATTTAATTAAAATGAAAAGGCCCGAAACATTGAAAATTAAATGTTGCCTGAGTTTAATTGTGATTATAGATGCCAATGTTGTCATTAAATGTTCACATTTTTCAGACAAAATGTTTCTTTTCAATTTACTTTTGGCTACTTTGTTGCTTCATGTTCAAGAGTAAAAATAACATGAAAATTTACACGCAATCAAACAATTAAACGCAATATAATTAATCATTTCAAGATGGAAAATGGAAAAGATGAATTCCCATTTAAATGTATTCATAATGGTAAATGTTGTTCAATAACAGGTAATGCGAAGAGTAAAGGTTAATCAATAATCGGTTCAACAAGGGAAGATGGATTAAAGCTGTGATTAGTGATGATTAGTCCAAGATTAGATCAATTTTGATTAATGGAAATGGGAAAAGGTTCAATTGAAAAGCAACCCTTTAAACGCTGTTCATCCTCATTATCATCATCGGATAATCATCGGATTTAACAATTGGTATTAGCTTGATGGTTAACACTTTGAGTTCAACAATGGATCCATTTAATGGCCATAAAGATGAATCTCTTTTCTTGGTAAAGGCTTTCAATTTGTTGATTAACACGACCAATGGCAATTGAAATAAAGGAAAACGATTGACCATCCAAAATGATGAAACTGGCTCCAACTGACCGATGCCCTTTTCCTCCCACAGTTTTTCCTCTTTTCACTCTCCCACCGGGCTTATATCATTAACCGTTTTTCAATTTTTGGTAAAATGTTTCCTTTCCAAAGATTACATTTAATGTTAACAGTTTGACAATTGATCAATTACTTTGTTTAACCGTTAACTGGATCAACCCGGTAAACAGTCTTCAAGAGCTGGTTGTGATTAAACCATTCATTAGCAATTAATAATTAGAAAAGTTAACAATTCATTAACCCTGACCTTAAATAGGAGCAAAACAGTTGCACTTTTCTTCTTCACCAAGACAGTAACAATTATTACAAATGTGTATATATGTTTATAAATGTTATTTGAGATGAGAAAAGAAATGAATTATTGAGGTAAAAAAGAAACAAGTTATCAAGAAAAGAAGCAATCAATCATTATAAGTCAGGTGAATGAAAAGGTAAGATAATCTAATTGCAGGCAATTGTCATTAAGATTTTTCTTCAAATTGATTAATTGAGGGAAGAAAAAAATTAAACTGTATTATTGAATTGGTTAGATTAGGAGGTGTTTTTTTCCCTTTGTGAAACGATTGTATCGGTTGAACAGAAATTAAACAGTTGCAACTGGAAAGTGATGAATATGTTGAGTTTTAATCAGTATTGATTGAAAGTTGTTTGATTCAGTGAAATATTCAATTTGCTGATTAAAGCCAATTGAAAATTGGACTGACTTGGACTGATTAAGTTGTGAAGGTAATTATTGCAACTCTTTCCTATTCACGTTTCTCTCTCCTTGGGTTTGTAATTCAGCTTCATGGGCAGTTTACATGATAACCTTTTCATTTCATTCTGTTCAACCAACCAACATTTTTACAATTCAAATTGCAACAATTTAGATCTATTTCTGGTACAATTGAACATCATTTAAACAATCGAGGGAAGTAAATCAACAGTCACAGAGAAGCTTTGAGTAAGCATGAATTTTAAGGCCAGGCTGGAAGCATCACTGGGTACAGGTTGATGGGACAATATGAGGCTCTCGAGTTGGTTGCATTTGTTTTACTGATCAATATAATCATAAACAGGGACTTGCTCCAAAATTGATTTCCATATATCGATTCAGATGAATAATAAATATTAATTTTCAATCTTCTGACATTGTCTTGATGAGCATGATTCTTGGTCTGGTTTTGATCCATTTGAATTGATAATTCTTTACTCTTGAGCAAGTATTGACTCAATATTGAATCCAATATTGCTTCCAATTCACTTAAATCACTGAATATTCAATACTTGGGACAGATAAATTGTTTTTTGAATAAGGAAAATAATGGATCCTAGATTTCGTCAACAGGAATAACAGCATTCTCAGATAGATCTAGCAGTTGTATCATTACTCAACAGGAATTCTGGTTGAGTCGATAGTTCCAGGTGAGAATTGAATAAAATTAAACCGTTCTATGCATCATCGTTATGGAGTTAGTGATCTGATTTCAGGACAATAGGACAAAAGTTCTTGAAAAGCGTTGATGAATGATAGAAAACTCCAACAGGATTTAAATGGTGCCATTCCAATCAAAACCAGCTAAATGTTGGGAGGAAAAAAAAACAATTTACAGTTAAGTTTGTGTCAAATTGGGCTAAAAAATTTACATCATCCAATTTCATTGAAAACCTTCATGATTCACAAGTAAAAAAAGTCAACCAATAGGAAAGAAAGTCTTACAGCCTACTAGATAAATGTATCAACTGAATGAGGTTAAATAAAAGTTAAAAATTGATTAAATTACAGATTTGTGAAAAATGTAAGAGTCAATCAAAAAAGATCATAATTATTATCATAATTGGTAACATGTTTTTGCTCATTGTATACACTCAACCCTTGCGTCCAAAAATGATGATAAAAATTGATAAGGTAAAAACAGGGAATAAAAAGAGATGATCAAGATGAATAAAATGAGGATGAAAAAAGATGTAAGAGGATCTCATGGATCATTGAGAGTTCATTCAATCACATTGACACATAATATACATTAGATTGACTTGTAATCAGCCAAGCGTCTGTACAAAGTCAATACAAATAATGTAAATTCCCTAACAAGATTCACTTGATTCTCTTTGATTGTTTTTTCAATTCGCATTCAATCAAAATCTCTCCTCTTTCCCTATCTTCCCTATCATCCTGATCATCCTCATCACTCTCACAAGAAACACACTGACAAACACACTCTTATACCTCTTTCCTGTTCAAAGTTGATATCATTGATAAAATAAATACAAAATATGACTTTCTTTATGCACACAATAACAACAACTTCAACACAACAACAGTTAATAAGCGCAAGCTTGATCTTTTTTAGTTTCACTTTTGCTGATTTTCAACTCTCATCTATTGATTTTTTTCAGTAGCGAAAAAAAACTTTTCTCATCATCATCTTCAACTTCAACTTCATCTTTACATCTTCCTTATCGTTGACGCGTGCCAAACACGCACCAAAGACTATTTTGACCTCAAAGAGATTTAAAGTGAGTCAATCTCGAGACTCACAGTTTGTGGCCTCATCTCTTTCTGCATCAAGTGATTCAGGGAGAAAATTATCATCATCATCATCATTACTATCAACATCATAATAATCATCATTTTTCTGTTGAAAAATGTATTTGTCAATAACATACGAACAACTCCCCGGAAGTTAAGAGAAATAGAGAGAGAGAACAAAATTCATCTCTGAACTTTTTCTCATTAATTTTCAGTTCAGTTGTTATCATTAGGATAAAAAATAAAGTTTAAACACCATCCAACAATAACAATAATAAACAGAATCAAAACCAATAATAATTTATCTAATTTCTTCTTCTTGTCACTTGAGAAAAATGAAAAACTATTGACTTTAATAAGTCAATAGTCAACATTTAATTCAATTATTATTACAATTAAGTCCATCGATTTGCTGTTTCCGCTATCATTATTCATTATCACCCTATTTACTGATTATTATTACTATTTATATTATTAACCTACAATAATCATTGTCATTTGTCAGTGTATTATCATTCTAATGGTGTTTAAACATGTAACTTATAAGGCAACCGTTTTTTTTGCAACTCTCTTAAATTGATTGATTTTTCTTAATTAATTTCCATCATACTAACTTGGTGAATTAAATTTTCTTACTCTGATTGGTAACATTAGGAAATGTGTTCATTTGCACGAGTCTAAATGATTCAGTCATCCTTCTTTCATTCTCTTTTTATCATCAGCATCATCACCGTCATCCTAATCTTCTCATTCTTCTCCTTCTCCTTGTTCCTGTTTTCTTGGTGCAAACTTAAAAAGATTTGCTCTTGCGTAAATTGACAATATCTTTATCAAAGGACCCAGGGCAGTAATAATCTTAATGAAATCTCATTTAGAAGATCCAAGAATCCATCAAATCAACCAAGCAATCAGAATCTCCACCTTCGGCTCACTTCTTATTCCATTCCATCTCCTCCTTGGTTTCCTTGAAAAAATCTGAGGAGCCAAAAATACAGTAAATAAAATGGTTAACACAATTATCCAGAAAAAAAAGATGGTGAAAACAGCTTAAAATTCAAATGGAAGACACAAAAGCATACGAACCTTTCAAGTGAAAAAACATAAGATGGTCAGTCACTATCTGGTCATTCAAAGTTTAGCACCACACAGGTAAAACCTAAAGTAACCCAAATAAAATAGAGAGCATAATTAAAACAAACCAAACACAAAACGTCTTAAAACAAAAGTAAAGATGAACAAAGAGCTTACCTAAGACCCGTTTCATGCACCAAATTTTGTCACAAGCCAAGTTAACCAGTTAAATACATAAAATGTTGAACATAAACAAACAAACAATAAACTAAATTACAAACATAAACCACAAAATCAAAATTAATAAATGAAATTTAGTGAAACAAAAGACAAAAGATACAATCAATTAACCTTCTGATCAAAAAGGGGAGTAATCAGTGTAAGAGAGGGAAATCTGCAAAATCCTTACGCGCGCCATTTAAAAAATTAACCCAAAATTGAAATTAATGAATAAATGGAATATTTTTTTCCTTTTTCCTGCAAGAAAGTAAAAAAGCTTTGTAAAATGTCCAAAATTTTACATTCCAATATAGAAAGAATGGTTAATGTAGCCAACCATTTGCCAACAATCAGTTACAGTGAGGAAAGTAAAAGATTCAATTAGATATGATTCAATGTAAATTGAAATGAATACAATAAAGAGATGAAGTTATTTGGCGTCATTTTTTTGCTGTAAACCAGGAAAGCGCAACAAAAAAAGCTCTGCACATGTAAACAATTTAAATAAAGTTTAAAAATTGTGGTAACTTTTTTCACCATTTTGCTATTATTTAATCAAATTGTAACATCACCAAAGTCTAACCTCATTAGACCTTAAAATGGGGAAGCCACACAATCAATCAAATGTTAGGTTGCCAGTTTAATGTTGATCATCATCACCATCACCACCAACATGATCATCATCGTCATTATCACCATCATCTAGTTTACAGTTAAACAGACCACAGAGGATGGGAAGAAGAAGAAGATCATTTTTTAAAAACTCACTTTTACCTTCCCAGTTTAGTGAAGGATGAACCATCACTTTACAGTTTAAATTAATGTTACTTATCATTTTCAATTTAAAGTTAATTCAAAAGGAGGAAGAAGAGAGGATGAAGAGGAGAGAAATGATGATGATGATTATGATGTTTATCATTGTTTGGGTGAAAAGTAATGTTGGACAGTAAAAAGAGAAGACCTTTTTTGCTTCACTTTTAGATGACTCAAATTGGATTGATTAATTGTTGGACTAATGAATTATCGGAATGACAGTGTTGCCCAGATGAAACTGTATTTACTCTGTAACATTGACAAAAGTGTAACAAAAAGCTGATCATGAATTAATTTATATTCATTTGAATATTGACATTACTCACCTCAAATGGTTACCAAACAACGTACTTTTTTGTTATATTGAAAAGTTGAGTAAACATAAATTTAATCAAACAATGATTCTGATGAGCCTCCTCATTATCCTCCATTATCATGACAAGTTAACATGATATTAAATTATATTTACCAATTACATATGATATACTCTTACCATAAGTCAACAATTTGAGGAATCAAATCAAGGACAAATTGCTTCTCTTTATTTGATCAACATTAAAATGAAAAAGATCTTCTTCTTTCATCTTTTGGGTGCAAATGGTGAATGTAAATAGAGGAAGATGAAGATCATGTTTAATGATCAAAAATTGGAGACAAATTAAGAGTGGAACAAAAGTCCGAGATTTGAACAGTTCTGATTGATAAAAACTTTTATTATCTTGTAAATTGCTGCTCATCAATTATCATCATCATCATCATTCTGTGTGGGTTAAGGTGAAGAGTAGAGAGAAGGATGAAAAAAGGAAACATTTTCTTCTCTTTTTCTTGCCTGTGCACTTTTCCATTCATTAATCTTTTCCTATTTGCTCATTATTCTGATTTTTCAAGTTGCTCTGTTTTCCTTCATGATTATCTGAAAGAATAGGTAAGAATGATAAAATGATAACCAATAAATAAAAGTCTCTTTTAATGGCCAATATACACTGTTATCATCATCATTGCCACTTTTCATTTAAACTTTCTTTTTCTCTTTCTCTTCTTCCCATTCTCTTTATGATGATAATGATGAGAATGTGAAAAGTTCATGATTAGTTGAATCAAAATTGCCTTTTTTCTCATTTTGTTGCCATCTGATGAACCGCAAGTTTCAAGTTGCTATAAATAAGGAAATTACATTTACCAGTAAACTTATTGTAAGCTAAGGATAAGTTACATTTCACGGAAACAACTGACTCTCACGGACAACTTTTATCGGTTCAAGTAGCCTTGATTAGGTGACAATCTTTCATAACCAGAGTTGCAAAAATCAAAGTCTCTTGTTGAATAAACTTGCAGCTGGCTGCTGGTTGTACAACAATCAATGTACGTAATCAGTTCATTTTGTTTTATAAACTCATCAACTTGTCAACTCATCCGAGTCTAAGCTCTATCAGATAGAAACAAATGAATAAAATTTGAAATATATCGGTGTGATTAAAGTCAATAAGGACTGTTTCTTAGATTCACTCAACCTAACATGAACAAACTGAATGAATATCTTCATCTGAGAAAATCAGACTGATTCAGGGTGACGATTGACAGATTGTCAACGGAGGGCCAGTTCGGATAATTATTCAGATGTAACATCTATTTGGATTGAATGTTGTCTTAAAACTTAATCCTGATCTCATCAAAAACCATCAAACATTTTTATCAATATTGAACCGAACTGCCCCTGAATCAAAAATCAAAAGGACTGCACTATCAATAAGAGTTAACCAAGTAAACCTTATGAAACCAATATGAAAACCCATTTGAATTGTTAGCACTTTCATCATGAATCGTCAATCTTTTCAATCAAAAATTGAATTTACAGAATGAAAATTAGTTGCTCTTCAAAATTTAGTCTTGATGAATTTTTTGTGAATCTAAATGCGAAGTAAATCGAATGAGAAATAATTGAAAATCTTGTTTCAAAATTTCTGTTAAATATTTAAAAAGAAAAGTGTTTTTTCTCGAGTTGAGCAAAATTTGAACTTTTCAATGAAAAGACAGGCTAATGAAAATGACTCAATTTCACATTTCGACACATTGATTTGACCATGTTTCAGATTCTCGATACTTTTTATATTTGATAAGATTAGATTGTATAGAGATAAATTGGCTGAAATAGGATAAAAAACAATATGAGATGATGATGATGATGATGAGAGGCTGTTATGGTGGATAACGAAATGATGATAAAGGATGTTGAATGAAGGAAGGGCGTTTACGGAGTTGAACATGAATAACAATCAGATGGATTCTAGGCGAGTCTCAAGTGTCACGCTATCATGACTCTCAGCGAGAAAGAGAGTTGGATATTTGGGTGATTAAAAGATTTAAAGGAAGACACGGACTAAAAGTCATCATGATGGTAATGACAAAAGAGAGAAAATGAAGATGCAGAAGATGAAAAAAAAGAGAAGAAGATATTGCAACCTGTAAATGTATTATTTTCCTCATCATCGTCATCATACAAAATGGGAATCCAAATTATTCCAAGTTTACTCTGTATCCTTACAAATGCTACTTGAATTGGAAGGTGATCATGTTTGTTTGGTCGTGGGCCAGAAACATTGGCAAACAAATAAACAATAGACTGACCCTGCCATGGAAACGATCAATTGTATCACCTTAATCTTTAACTCACTTCATTTACTCACACACAGAGAGTCACATTATCATCATTACTTTCATTGTCAATATTGATATGATAAACAGAGGAGAGAATCACACTTTTTTCAATGCTGCACACTCGACCCTCTAGCATTGGATTATGCTCATTGTTCGGGTACTTTACGTACTTTACAGCTGATGGTAACAATATGAGTACATTTGTTAGTTGATCATTTCAGTTCACCTTAATTATTAATATAATAATAGGAGAAGAAAAAAAGTGTTTCACGATTTTTATCGATCTTTTTTTACAAATCAATCAATTATCATATTACTAAAAATTGGATTAAACATGAACATTTCAATGATCAAAAATAAGATTTTATCAATTATATCAAAGTGAACCTACGCTTCTTTCAAACTAACCAAATCGTTATTACGAAGTACCTCAAAAAGATCAGTAAAAGGTTAAAAAAAATTCTCATTAGCTGAACAAATAAGTTACAATTCTCAGATCTGCCTCCAGTGTCAACAAATATCTTGCAACTTAAGATCAGGTGTTTATAATCATCTGCCTAGAACTGTCAATAAATTGGCAAAGTTTTCGATCGCTGATGTCCACCAACCGTTTTCATCGACAAAAAAATAAGTTCAGGATATTTGATTCTCACTATCGCTCGAAACTCCAGGTTAAACCGAAAATCGAAGTGACCTCTTGTACAGAAACAGAAATTTCTGTTTCTGGTTTTCCCTGAAAATTTACAAGAAAACGAGTGGAAAATCTGGTTCCATAATTGTACTAAAGGCGATTGAAGTTTCAATTTTGACCTTTTTGACCTGAATTTTCTCGAGAAATGATAAAAGTTGTTATGCCCCAAACCAAATGTTTTTGTACTTGAACTGATTTCGCTCCTTTGCAACTTTTTGAGTCTAGTTTTGTTGAGGTTTTCACGATTAGCTTTTAGTATCGATCGTTATGAAGGCTTGATTATGCTATGAAATGGATTCATGTCACGAGATTGACTGGTGAAATCTGTTGAAAATGAGTGAAATTTGTTTCTAGCCAATAAGTTAATCAAGTATTGAAATCTTTTTCTTCATTTAACCTTTACAATTTGAAATGTTAATAGTTTAGTTGCGTTTTGCTTTCTTCTTGGTTTTTACATCTTTACAATTCTAAATTCAACCTTTTGTTCATCAATTGATTGTCATGAATATAAAGAAATAAGAAACCATTTTTGTTGAGTTAAACAACACTTCATACCAACAGTAAATTGACAAAATATTGACTGTGAAGGTGAAATGTTCAATCGCTTTTATTATTCAAATGTTACCCTTTTCACTTTACGCTCAACAAGAAAAACCTTAAACCTTAACCCCTCTTGTTTCACTTTTGACCATTACAGTGTGTGGCTCATTTGAAATGACCTCTAACCTTCTGTAAAAATTGTCCCTTAAATACTCTGGTCAATAGTGAAAGTCATTAACTGTGATTTATAATCAGAAAAAAAACCTTCAAAACGGTTCTTCCTCTTCATCTTCATCTTTTTGTCAAGACACTCCTTTATACTATTTACAATAAAAAAAGCAATGACAAAAGCATTACTAAACCCTTACCTGAAATAATGCCCAAGACCTTTGACCCAATTATATTTGACCAAATGTCTTTTTTGTTGTTAAATTTCCATAGACAAGGTCAAGATTGAGTGGATCAAATTAAATTGATCAGAATTACAAATTAATGGAAAACTGTGAAAACAAAAATGAAAGCAACAAAATCTCAATTCAATCGCTAATCAAGCTCTTCATTGCTAATTACAAATCGAATCGGATTGTTGAAAAGTTCAACTAGATACATCATCAGGTTATTTTGGTTCAAAATCAAAGGTTCAACTCTCAACCCGAACGAAAACTTCTTGCGTCAGTCAATCTGAATCAGGACATCTTGAGTTATTTTACAATGATAAACTTGATTCAAACATTTATCCTGACCAACGTTTTTAAAATTTTGGGTTGAAATTGATAAGCTCATTCATTTGAGGCATCATCCATGATCTCATCTTGATCAGTTCCAGTGTTAGGTGAGGCCACTCCTATTGATTATGATACTTCTGCACAATCAAAGGCCAATTGACAACTTCAGATATGGGTTTTGATTCATGAATTGCTGCTTCCAAGAATGACATATCAAAGTGACTAGTTTTTACTAATTGTAAAACAATGTTTGATTTTTGATTTGATATTAATTTTTTCAGTAAACTTTTTGTTGAAACTTGTTTCTTGAATTTTTGTTCACAAAACAAGATCGTTTATAGTTTGGGTTGGATAATGTTCAACATGTATTAGTGAGTTTTTGCGCAGTTTTAAGGCAGAGCCACGCATGGCTCCTCACCATCTCACCTAACCAGTAGTAACAACGTACAGCAACTGTAAAGGACCGACATCAGTTAGAAGAGATCAGTTGAACCAGTAACAAAAAACAATTCAAAAAAATTTAACAACAGTAACAACAACAATGGGGTTGTACAGTATGTACGACTTGTGTGAAACTAATGGTTCATCTAATAATTCACCATCACCACACCACCATCTTCACCATCCATCGCAACACCACCCGGCTCATCACCATCCATCTCAACATCATCCATCTCACCATCACCCATCGCAACATCATCATCATCATCCTTCTCAACATCATCATGCTAGTGACAATTCATCTCATCATTCACATCAATCATCATCCACAACTGTGAATCACAATTCATCAAGCCCAACCTCATCTCACTGTTCATCACACACACCATCAACCACCAACTCATCTTCCTCACCAGCAACAGCCGCCGCTGCCGCTGCCGCCGCCGCTGCTGCTGCTTCTGCCGCTGCTGCACTGGCAGCAAAAAAGGAACACGATCGTGTGAAAAGGCCAATGAATGCTTTTATGGTTTGGTCTCGAGGGCAGCGAAGGAAAATGGCCCAAGAAAATCCGAAAATGCACAATTCTGAAATTTCAAAAAGGCTTGGTGCCGAGTGGAAGTTATTATCAGAAATTGATAAGCGACCCTTTATCGATGAAGCCAAAAGGCTACGAGCAGTGCACATGAAAGAACATCCGGACTATAAATATCGACCACGTCGAAAGACTAAGACTTTGATGAAAAAAGATAAACCTTATGCACTTGCTAATGGGTTAGGTCCTTTAACTCCGGACCCATCACGATCTTCGTCGGGCCCTGCAACTGCTGCAGCCGCATTAAGTGTTTCTCGTGATCTCTATCAAATGAATGGATGCATGAGTAACAGTTATCCAACAATATCCATGCATGATTACCAACAACATGCCGCCGTAGCTGCATATGGTTCACCCGGAATGACACCGCAAACTGGACTTTATGGCAGGTATGATGTTACACAAATTCATAATCCGATAACCTCAGCTCCAATGGCCATGTCCTACATGAATGGTTCAAGTTATTCACCAATGCCCATGTCAACTTATGCCTCAATGGGAAGTACATCAGGTGCCCCTGGACCAGGAATCAATTTAGATAACTATTTGAATGAGCCTAATTAACACAACCAAAAACAAATTGTAATAAAGTTTCATTTCAAGTTTTAAACTTTTCAGTTTTATCACTTCTTGTTGTTGAGCTTCAGTTCCATGAATTAACAACTTTCTTCAAGTCGAGAAAGTAACAGCCAAAAACGGAATCGAAGTTGGATTAAATTTGCTTTCACTTTGGTCAATTTGTCCAATCATCATCCAAAGTTTAGGGTATGTCGGGTAATCTTTTACTCCTTCATTTAATAGCTTGAGTCTATCTCTATTTTGGCCTAAAGCCCACTCGAGTTTAGCCAATTTCATGAAAACTCTAGCTGAAGGAGCAGAAGCACGAGCTTTAGTTAGTAATTTTCTAGCACCTGAATATTCAGACAATTCAGATTCAAGTTTGACTAACCAAATCTCTTACCAATAATTCACTTTAACTTATTTCAAGTGTTAACATGTCTTATGTGGGAATCGGTAAATTATGAAATTATGACGAGGTTCTGTATCAACACATTTATTTTTAACTTCTTGTTGTTGAGCTTCAGTTCCGTGCATCAATTCAAACTTATAGAAATATCCCCAAGCATCACCAAAATCAGGATCGACTTTGATTTTTAACGAAAGGTAAAATCAGATTTTGACGCTTTTGTTCATTTAAGGCCATAACTTGAAAATTTTTGCCTTCCATAACTGAACGCGCTTTGACCAAAGTACCACAACTCTCTACAAGTCGAGAAAGTAACAGCCAAAGAGGAATCGAAGTTGCTGTCGCAATTTAATTTTGAAAAATCAGTCCAAAACATTGCTGTTCATACTTTATTATCAAAGTGACAAAAGGTTAAGATTTCAACTTTTGGATTTCTTATTCTGACGATGGTTTTTCATTACCAACTTGATTATTCCAAATGTGGATTGATTGTATCAGTGCCGATCTTTCCGATCAGTTATGATCGGATGATCTGCTTGATATACTAAAGTTAATAATGTCGTTGAATGGTTATTTTTAGATCAAAACATTCGATAAATGAAGTTAAAAATGGTCAGTTGCGGGTGCTTTTCTTGTTCGCTTGACATGAATGTAAACTTTCAAGTTTTTAATGCGAAATAAATGCAACACTATTAAGAACTGGTTTGATGGAAAACAAGAAGATGATGATGATAATGATGATAATGTGGATGATGAAAAATGTGAGTCTATAAAAAAATATATAGATTTGAGGAAAGGCAATAGAAGAGGTTTGTTGTTAGTTGAGGTTGTCACTTTGAAGATGATGAGGAAGAAGAAGAAGAGAAAAGATGAAGATAGAGAATTGAATCGATCAAGTATATTTATACTCATGTATACATTGAAAGGTCTCACTGAAGAGTACAAAGTAAAAGGTCATAAGTCCATATTAAAAAGTATATTGAAGCTACTCAAGGGATTTTCATCTTCCAACGAATCCAAGTGAAATGAAAGAAACAAGAACTAGTCTAGATGACCAAGATGACCATCAGAAGATGAAGTTTACTTGAACATTTTGCGTCTTTATTGGCTTCATAATTAGAAAACAAAATTCGAACGTTTTTTCTTCTAATCAAATTGAGGTTGAAGGTAAAATTGGTTCAATTTTTTAGGTCCATTTACAAAGATTCAACTCTTTATTCAATCGTTTTTTTTCGAGAAAAGGTAATTGATATCGAAAATATTGATATTTTTGTCATTGAAAGGTTTGAAGATGAAAGAGGTTCACTTTTAGATCGTGTTAAAACTGCACATTTAACAAAAGTCTGTGAAAAGTGATCACTCACTTTGAGCCATTTGGTCTCCAGAAAGTCGTCAAAAAAGTGTGCTCAATTAGATTTGTTGAAGTAAAGCGTTTGCTTGTGACTGCTTTTCAACCGATTTTACCACCAGTTTCTTGCATCTGTTTTCAATTTAGCGAAATTCATATCACAAATGTTTTTCAAATCTGGCTGAGTTTCGGTTTTGTCTAAGCGCTGTCTGCATCATGAATTTGAATAAACCTTTTCCAACATTACAAGATTATAGATAAAGATTGCTTTGTTTCAAGTTTTACCAAATAGGCTTCATTTGCGCACTTGAAGAGATTTGATCATCTCTAAAATGCATCAAAATGCATCGATATCGGGTCAATTTTGTTGTGTAGAGCGGGAAATAAAAGGTCAATTCCTTTGAGATTTAAAATGAAATTAAATGTGCAACCGATCGGTAAAAAATAAAGTAAATTGAAGCCATATTTTGACTTAAATGGTTACCAACTTAGCTTAGCCAATTTTTACTCTTTCAATCTAATTGACTAGTCATCAAGAGCTGGCTTTGTGCGTTAAAATGTTGTAAATGGTTTCATCATGAAAATAAATGTAATATTAAAAATTAAGTGTTTAAATTGAGAAAGAGAAATGGTCCAAATTATTTTCCTCTTTCTTTATTCTGTCTATTTCCCTGTCTTGACAAATCCATTTCTTATTCTTAACAATGGTCAGAAGGGTAAAACAAATTCTTTGTTTCAACAAATGGATTATTGAGGGGATTTGAAATTATGACTTCACTGAAGTTTCAGTTTTCTCATCGACATTTACAGTTTTGTAGTTTAGACTGAAATTCAGTTCGCTTTTCATCGGGCAAAATCAACTTTTCATTCATAACTCAGATTGAGATCTGCTCTATTTTGTTGCATTTTGACAAATATCGCGCCAAACTTCGGTTAACTTTTCAAATTCGTGCATCATTCGCTTTTGTCAATCGCAACTTAAAATCAACTTGATCGGGAAAATCGGAAAAGCTAATAAAAATCAAAAATCGTCTTAAAATCGAAGCAACTCGACATAATTTTCACTGAATATGAAAAGACTAAGAACGTCTTCTAAAAATAATTCAATTACCTAAGTTATTCCCAAATTCATATCAATTGTAATACAGATGTAGTTTGAGATTAAACTGCGCAGTTGAATGTATCCTTACCTCACTTGCAATGAGCAACTGTCATTGGATTAAAGATAGGAAATTCAATATCGATAGCAAGATAGTTCATAAACTATAGTAAAAAGAGTTCGAGTTGATCAAGATCCACCAACCATGTCCTTCAATCAAAATGATATTTAATAAAATTTCAACATTCGCTATTGCGTTTCCAGAATAATATTGAAAATGCAATTTCAATGTCCGTCTCAAGAAACAACAGAAATTTTCCTTTCTCCATTCAATTGAAACTCAATTTCTGCATAATTAACCAAATTGATAGCAAACCACTTTCATCCATTGCAATTTTGAAAACCTGTCTGAAGTTCCCATGAAATAGGATGTAACTTTAATTATCAGGTTTATCCAATGAGCATAAAAATATTGAAAAAAATGAAACATTTCCCGATGACAATAAAAAGATGATGAAAACAAAATGTCAAAACTGGCGCAATTACTGGACATTATTTTTCAAGATAACCAGTCAAAATGACCCGAAAACATGAAATATTTCACTATCGCCATCATCATCATCATTCCAATGGTTAATAAAAAAAAGCTCAATAATGTTCAACTTGAGCTACTTACAAAAGCTTCAAGAATTTTGTTCCTCCAGAAAGAAGAAGAAAAAGTTCAAGAATTGATAACATATATCGATAAGCGCAATATATTTATCATAACCATTATACTTTATTATTATTGTAATTTTTACTTCCCTAATCTTTTCAGTTTTTTTTCAAATAAAAAAAAATCTTTTTCAATGTTCATATAAACCAATATTAAATCGATATAAGAAAACAAAATTGATGAGAAGATAATAATAATAATAGTAATAATAATAGTAATAGCAATAGTAATAATAATAATGGTTAATAATAATGATAATGATAATGTTAACCATTAAAAGATGGTTAACCTATTGTGCTAATAGTTGTTATGGTAACTTGTTGGGTTATAAAAAGCAAGGTAAGTTTTGTTATTGTTTATCTTGAAGGTGTTATAATATATATTATTATCATTAGATCAATTTTGTTCATCAAAATTCATTTACTCATTGATTTATGTTTCTCCATGTTAATCTTATCAAGTTAACACCATTTTAATCACCTTTCCCTCTACTTTTGCACAACTTATTCCGATTCACATGTTGATTGGTCTGGAATCAACTGAATCTTTTTTTCACCTTTTCTTCTTCTTTCGCTTTGCTGTCAGAATTTTGCTGCTTTTTCTCTCTCTCTCTCGATGTTTCTCATTGTTTACCGTTCAGGTTGTAACGTGCTGGTAACAACCAACTAGGTCAACTGAAAATGACCTCACAATACGTTTTATCCTGTTTCGTTTGATCTTTTTTTTCACCTCAAAATGAAACAAAACATTTCTATTATTTTCAATGTTCTACTCTTCACTCTATTTCTTTCAACCTTTTTAACGTTCATTTTCCTATTTTTTCCCATTCAATTCATTTTCACTTTTTTTCATCACAGATTTCGTTTCCATTCAGGTCTATTTAAATGATGTAACCTTCAAATTGACCGGTTTGCACACTTTTAGTCTCTGTTTAAGTCAATCTATTTTTTGTAGCAAAACTTTAGATAATCGATCAAAATTGACATTATTCATCGCGTGCAAATACGAAGACGGAATATTGACTAGATCAGCCGAAAGTAAAGATGTGCGATTATTGAAAAAACGATTATCGGTGATAACGCAAAGTTCACAACAATCGATTGAATAAATATCGATATTATCGATGAATCGATTCAATTAAAAAAACGTTAAAACACATTTACTTTTACTAATGCTTAAAAACATGAGGTAAGGATTCAAAAAACAAAGACTAGACTTGGTGAAACATAAGTCAAAAGTCAAGTCATAAGAGAACCAAACGTTTCTAAGAGTTTCCAATACCATGGAAATTATCGCTAAAACTTATACTGGATAATGGTATTGCCCTAGAAAGGACAGTTTTGTTAGATTCAAATTAAGATTTAATTCCGTATGACGGACTCAGAAGCAGATAAAAAAGTGTCCAAGAAAATCAAAGTTGACACGGAAATGCACTTTTTCATACAAGTGCTCAATTATGATCAGGGAATCCACTTGTTCTGA